CCCAGGCCTGCAGTTGCCCCTCTGCAATGCGCTTTGGAGAAGGAGGGCCCATGCCCAGTGTGAAAGGGCATCTGGAACACTCGGCTGTGCTGGCCTAGCCTGACATTCACACCAGAAAGTGGAGGGCGGCCAAAAAAAACAGCTGTGCGGTGGAATAGCGGCCTGCTGTCCCACACCCCCAGGGTGACTTCCACGGACATGGCCTCCGCAGAGAGGCCGGACACGAGTTCATGTTCTGCAGTCCTCTTGTGCTGTAAATTTCAGAGGCAGGCTGACCTTGGGCCAGAAATCAGATTCCCGTGTCGAGTCCACGAGGCACCAGCCAGGTGCGGGTGCGGGGCCTACTGTGTGCATGCTGTGCGTTTTGATCTGGGTGGCGCCTTCTGGGGTACGCACACGATTACATGTTCACAACAGTCCCGCCAGGTCACACCACACGTCCGAGGTGTATAGTGGGCTCCACCACAGAGGTTTGTGTGTATGGGCTCTGCGATGCGACAGTATTGCCTTTTTGACGTGTCTCTTAGAATGTAGCGTGTGTAAACAGCACACACTGTGTATACAGCATATTACAATGGATTCGGCTCTGCCCATACTTAAACTTTGTGCGTTTTGTTATAATTAAGTTACAGTTAAATTAAAAATGAACACCTAGTGGGGAATATGATCAGATCACCCCTGAATGTTCTTTATCTCTATGATCTGTTTATATAAAATTTTAAATATTAATTGCTTTATCTTTGATACAACTGTCTTTTTTTTTTTTGGAGAGGTATTTTGCTATAGGGTGCGTGCGCTCGCCAGACAGACAGAGAGAGACAGAGACAGAAAGCGAGAAATCACCCCCCAGTGGGGATGGTCGCGCCACAATCCCTTCTCCTCCATTCTCCTCTCGGGATCCTGGGCATGCACGCACACGCGCCCGGCGTGAGTTTTAAGCCACCAGGTCCAGGACTCGAACCGTGGTCAACTACGTGGGAGTCCAGCAACATAGCCATTATGCTAATTGCTGGTTCCAAATACAACTGTCTTTAGATCTAAACTGTTCTGTAAGAAGGAGATAGGTTCTCACTTTACCCAGTAGCAGAAACCAGGCAAGGTCTGAGACCAGCATTACGTCACTCCTATGTACTCAAAAGCAGTTCAGATCCTGGACCTGGTGGCTCAACTCACACTGGGTGCATGTGCGTGCCCAAAAGCCCAAGAGGAGGATGGAGGAGAAGAGATGTGATGTGGCCATCCCCCCCCCCCGGGGGGAGGCGGGGCAGGGTGATTTCTCGTTTTCCATCTCTCAGTTTCTCCAGCAAGCACACATGCTCTATAACAAAAATCTCTCTAAAAAAAAATTAAAAAGGCCAGTGCTGTCCTTTCTGAGTGCCACCATTCCCACACTGCTCTTTAACTCTCGGCCGCCACACACTTTTTTTTTCCAAGAGGTTTTTGCTATAGGGCACATGCACTTGCCAGACAGAGACAGCCAGCCAGAAAGCGAGAAATCACCCCCCAGGGGTCTGGCCACTCCCCAGGGTCTGGCCACTCCACAGTCCCTTCTCCTCCATTCTCTTCTCGGGTTCTTGGGCATGTACGCACACACGCCTGGTGTGATTTTAAGCCACCAGGTCTAGGACTTGAACCACAGTCAACTACATGGGAGTCCAGCAACATAGCCATTACACCAACTGCTGGTCCCCCATCTTGCATTCTCTCAGGCCATGTCCACAGTGTGTGGGCTAGTGCTCCTCTGTCCCCCTACAGCCAGTGAGCACCTCTGGGCATCCTTCCGGGTGAGGCAGCGTACCATCTGCACCTGGGTCTGACTTCCCCATGTGGATGTGGGTTTGTCACTGACCTCTGCAGTAAAAATTCATTTCTACAATTATTATTTCTTTTTATGTTTTTAAGAGTTATTTATTTTTAAAAAAAAAGAGTTATTTATTTAACTTTAGTTAGTTAGTTAGTTACTTTAATTTGACCAGGGCAGGGGGTGGTGAGAAAGCAAGCCACCGGTCTGGGACTTGAACTGCAGTCAGCCATGTGGAAGTCCAGCACCCTTAACCACCACACCACCTACCGGCCCTCTTTCTGTTTTATTTTTTTAAGAGAGAGTTTTGCTATAGGGCTTGTGCACTGCCAGTGAGACAGAGCGAAAAGTCACCCCCCAGGGGGCACAACACAACCTCTTCTCCTCCGTGCTCCTCTCGGGATCGTGGGCACACATGAACACACGTCCAGCCTAAGTTTCAAGCCACTGGGTCCGGAACTTGAACTGCAGTTGGCCTTGTGGGAGTCCAGCAACATAACCATCGCACCATCTGCTGGTCCCATTTTACTTCTTAATAATGTGGTACATATGCATGCAGTAAAATTCAGTCTTTTATTGTTTAGAGTCTTCTTAAGTTAATGTTTTTGGGCATTCCAAAAGACTTATTCAAAGCTTTTCTCATTTAATTATGGGGACAGTTATGTCACTTTGTAGAAGCCTGCTCTTTTAACATGCATTGAGATTTAGGTGGTTTCCAACCTGTATTTTGGCATTATTTTTTTCAAGAAATATTCATTTAATTATATTTATTATTATTCAGTTCGATCAGAGAGAGAGAGAGAGAGAAAGCAAGCCTCCAGGTCCAGGTCTCCAACTGCATTTGGCCATGTGGGAGTCCTTGTGCCGTAACCACCATGCCACCTGCTGGCTCCAAATTTAGGCCCTTTTTTTTTTCCGCATTATTTTTAAATGAGGGCTAGCTTGTGGCATGGTGGTTAAGACAGCTAAATCGCACATGACCAGCTGCATGATTCAAGTCCTAGACTTGATGGCTTAAAAAGCATGTCAGCACATGGGCACATCTACCCAGAAGTCCCAAAGGAGGAAGGAAAGGCGAAGGGGTTGTGATGTGGCCATCCCCCGGGGTGCAGGTGATGCTTTCTCACTTTCCTTCTCCCTTTCTGTCTCTCTGGTGAGTAGACTCATCTGGCAAATTCAAAAATTGTTAGAATGAGTATTTTTCTTTTAAAGGCAGTATCTTTTTTACATAATAGCTGGGAAGTTAATTCAGTTGATAACAGTGTGCCACACCGTTTCCCGTGTGACAACCCTGAGGACTGCTGACAGCCATCACCCAGAGTCCTCTCTGTGACTAACCATCAGTAGTGTCTTGACCCCTTTCCTTCTGTGACCTGTACCAGATCTCAACATTCCTTCCAGGCCTGCTATATTCCAGGCCTGTCCCCACCCCGCGGGGGGGGGGGGGGGGGGGGGGACAAAGGGAAAGGAAGGGAGGAGGGGACAGCACTGGGTGTTCAGACCAGAGCATCTTTGATGGCTCTGGTCTCAACAGTGCTGTGTCCTTTGCCAACTTCCAGTTTAACCTGGCACCCACAGCTGCCACTGTGCCGTTATAGGCTCAGATGGTGGAGGAAGATCTACAGCCTTGAACACCCATGATCAGAGAGACCCTGAAACAGTCAGGATTTGGGAGCGCAGGAATCACCTGACAGTCAGATATGTCAGGGCCAAGGCAGGACTAGTTCAGGAGCTGTGCTGTGGGGGAGGCTCTGCTCGGCTCCAGCCATGGGCGCGGAGATGGAAGACACAAGTTCATTTCTCCACCCAGTAAGTGTCTCGGCTGTGTCGTCAGTGCCAGGCACTTGTCGGGTATAGCTGATGGGAAACCCAAGACGAGGCGGAGTGGCTGTCCTCTGACTAATGGGGCAGTGAGGGCTATGCACACAGAGCCTGGGCAGCAGAGACTGGAGAGTGACAGTCCTTCTCCAAGAGGAAGAGACGAACCACCAGGAGGGGATGGGGCTGAGTCTCAAAGGGAGATCAGGACTTCCCAGGCAGGAGTGTGTGCCCAGCTGCAAGACAGGGGTAGGCAGGAGTCAGGGACTGGCTGTGGGACCCACACCCCCGCTGTGCTGGGCACAGTGTCATTTTGTGATGGAAGACCTGCCAGGCTCCTTCCCATAAAGGCATGTAACCTACCTGTTCATTTTTATTTTAGTGAGATTTGCATATTCTTATTTATGTTAAGTCTGGATTTCTGTTTGGTTTCTGTACTCCATATGCATTGTGGAAGAAAAATATCTTGTCATCGTACCCATTTGCTACTTTGAGAAGTTGGCCAAGTTCATAGAATCCTTGCTCTGCCAGGAAGATACCAGGTTGTCAGAAAAGTTGTGATGCATTTTTTTGCATAGAAAAAATACGCCATGGGGGGATCAGCAGTTAGCATAATAACTATGTCGCTGGACTCCCACGTAGTTGACCACGGTTCAAGTCCCGGACCTGGTGGCTTAAACTCATGTCGGGCGTGTGTGCATACATGCCCAAGATCCCAAGAGAATGGAGGAGAAGGGATTGTGGCGTGGCCATGCCCCCTGGGGGGTGATTTCTCGCTTTCTGTCTCTCTGTCTCTGTCTGTCTGGCGAGCGCACGCGCCCTATAGCAAAAACCTCTCAAAAAAAAAAAGGAAAAGAAAAAATACGCCATGGAGTTTCTGACAGCTGAGTCTTTGGTATTAAAGACTAAGTGTTCCAGTGTTGCAGGTTCCCGGGGCGTACGTGCACTCAGGTGGGCCAGCCAGCCTCCCCTGACTACTGCGTCAGGGAATTTTTGAAACTGAGGAACGTTAGGGTCAGCAGATGGCCTAATGGTTATGTCGCTAGACTCCTGCATAGTTGACCGAGGCTCGAGTCCTGGACCCAGTGCCTTAGAACTCACATCAGGCATGTGTGTATGCATTCCTTAAATCCTGAGAGTAGACGAGGAGAAGGGATTGCAGCATGGCCATCTCCCGTGGGGGTCGATTTCTCGCTTTTTATCTCTGTCTCTCTGGTGAGCACACACACCCTATAGCAGACACCTCTCTTAAAAAAAAAATGTTGTTGGAGAATGTTAACTCTATTTACTCAGGGGACAATTGTATTGTAAAGGGAAAAATGTAATACAGAATCTGTCAGCAGTTTTGAAACCATTTTGGTTTTGTTTTCATTTTTTTTAGAAACCCGACGTGAGGCTCTCTCGAGGTAGCATCGACAGGGAAGACGGGAGTCTTCAGGGTCCGGTAAGTAATACCGTGTGTTCAACAGGATGGAACCACAGGTTCTTATGGGCATGGGCCATTATTTTTGTCTTAAGATATCCATGTTCACTAGTAGTTGTAATCTGGATCAGAATAATCCATTCTATGAACTAAGCAAACATTTTAACTTCAAATGATTAAAATAGATTCTGCGGGGCAGCAGGTGACATAGCAGTCACCTCACTGGACTCCTACGTGGCCAACTACTGTAGAGTACAGGACCCAGTGGCTTGAAATCCATGTCTGCATGTGTGCCCAAGATCCCAGGGGAAGAATGGTGGAGAAGGAGAAGGGATTGCTTCATGGCCATCCCCCAGAGGGTGATTTCTCACTTCCCTCCCATTGTCTCTGTCTGGCTCTCCAGCAAGCGCACATACCCTAAGGCCAAAACATTTACAAATAAAATAAAATAGACTATGTGCAGCCTAGACTTCTTGTTCAGATGCAAAAGTTTTTTTGTCCCATTACCAATACAGGCTTTGCAGCATTAAGCTGGACTCTGTGACCCAAAGAGAGATGTATATGTAGTAATTATTGTATTCAGCATTGTCATTTGCTACAGTTTTTGTTTTTTAAAGAATTGTTTGTTTGTTTGTTTGTTTTCATTTGACCTGAGTGAGAGAGAGAGAGCAAGCAAGCTGCAAGATCCAGGACTCAAACCACAGTCAGCCATGTGAGAGTCCAGCTCCCTTAACCACCGCCACCTGCCAACTCTCTTGCTGCACTTTATACTCTTATTGCAAGTTGGGGGAGTTTCCACAGTCACATGAAACCTGTTCAAGTAAAATTTGTTTCTTCTGGGCGTTGCAGGGAGCACCTGAGATACTCTGGACAGCTAGTATGTGATTTTTCCAAATGTATCTAAACCTTACTAGAAACCCACTGGTGTTTCAAGGAAAGTGGTTGAAATTGCCTTGATAACATCTCCGCCAGCTGATGTCTGGTTAAGATGGGGGCCAACAGGTGGCACAGTGATTAAGATGTTGGACTCCCTCATGGCTGACCACAGTTCAAGTCCCTGACCTGGCAACTTGCTTAAATATTCTCTCTCTCTCTCTCTCTCTGCCCCCCTTCTTCCTCTCTTATCTCTCCAGTAAGCATGCACACCTTATAGCAATTTTTTAAAAATAATACACAAACGGGGGACCAGCAGTTAGCGTAATGGCTATGTCGCTGGACTCCCATGTGGTTGACTGCAGTTCAAGTCCCAGACCTGGTGGCATAAACTCACACCGGGTGCATGTGCATGCATGCCCAAGATCCTGAGAAGAGAATGGAGGAGAAGGGATTGTGGCGTGGCCATACCCCCCAGAGGGTGATTTCTTGCTTTCTGTCTCCCTGTCGGTCTTTGTCTTTCTGGCGAGTGCACGAGCCCTGTAGCAAAATCCTCTCCAAATAAATAAATAAATAAATAAATAATAAAAATGATACACAAACGTAAATAAATAATTTCTTAAAAAGATAAAGGCAGATTTTTTTAATCACTTACTACTCTTTGTTTTGGAGAGGTTTTTGCTGTAAGGTTTGTGCACTCTTCAGAAAGACAGAGAAAGGCAGAGAGATAGAAAGCGAGAAATCACTCCCTAGGGAGGATGGCCACACCACAATCCCTTCTCCTTCGTTCTCCTCTTGGGATCTTGGGCACGCACATACACGTACCTGGCGTGAGTTAAGCCACTGTGTCTGGGATTCGGACTGCAGTCGATGGGAGTCCAGCGACATAGCCATTACACCAGCTGCCAGTCCCCACTTACTGCTCTTGTCTTATAAATGTATGCCAAGGGCTGGCAGGTGGCTTGGTGGTTAAGGCAACAGGACTCGCGCATGGCTGACTACAGTTCAAGTGCTGGACCTGGCAACTTGCTTTCTCACTTTCCTTCTCTCTCTTTTCTCTCTCTCTCTCTGGTCAAGTTCAAAAACATAAAATGATGACAATTAATAAAATTAAATAATTCTCAAAAAAAAGATATATTAAATGTGTTCTAGGCCTTTCCATAATAAGCTTCTTTGAGTGGAACATTGCACCCACCTAACTGCATTCCACGTTCTTATCGCCCAGCTCCCAGATGCATATTACAGAATGACCCTACAGGAAATTTTTTCTAGTCTGTGCTATGACATTCTGTCTGGCCCTGAGATCTGGCACCAGAGGACTTGCCCGGCTGCCAGAGTGTGAGCATCTGTCATCTCCCATCACGATGTGCAGGCTGGGGGTGCTCTACAGATGGCACATGCCAGACATTCTGCAGCTCATTGCATGGAGTCACAGTGTACAGTGTCTCCACGCTCTGAGCTCCTTATGAAGTGACTCTTAACAAGCAGTCTGTCCTAGATGGTTAGACGTGGGATCGCCATGAAATGCAGTCCTGTTCAGAGACCAGCTAGTTAGAATTTGCTAGTAAGAAACATGTTGGGAGAGGAACTTTTTTTCTTTTTTCTGGGTAACTGCCAGAAGGCACATGGACTTGCCAGAAAGAGAGGGAAAGCAACCCCTCCCCCTCCTGTGGGGTGAAGTCATTTCACATTTCTTTTCCTCCATGTCTCTGTTTGGTCAGGAGTCTGGACATTCACATCTTGGCCACTGGGGCCAGGATGCCAATCCCAGCTGGCCATGGGGGCTGGGGGACATCTGGCTCCAGATGTGCTCGAAGCACTGCTACAAGGGCTAGCCCAGGAGATTCTTCTTGTCCTGTATATGGCATATAAAAAGTACTCAGAAAATACACAGAATTAACAAAGTCAACCTGGACAGGGACCAGTCAGAAATGCTTCATTAGTAAAAACTCGTACCTTCCGACTGCACCCTTATGTGATAAGGGACGGCATTGTGATGAAGCGAAATGCAGACGCAGCAAGACCTGTGGTTTTAAATGCTTTAATGAGAAACTTTAGACATGCATGAAAGAAAATTCTATGTTGGTGGTGGCCCCCTGTTTGTGATCCCAGAGTATTCCATGTCTGCCTCTTCACTCCTTCGTGCACACTGTGTTGGCGTCCTGTGCTGCTTTTTCTGATCGCCCACCCCAGCTGAGACCTAAGCAGTGCCCTGTCTTATGCCTCTTGATACTTGGCATCTAGCACACAATTTTGAGAGGATGGATGAATGGACAGGGTGGGAGAGGAGAAGTAGTTACATCCTCACACGTTCCAGGCATTGACTGGACTGTTCTTTTCCTACAGACTGGGAACCAACACGTGTATCAGCCTGTGGGGAAGCCGGGTGAGTGAGGAATGAGCTGTGTGTCGGGTGGGGTGGGTTGGAATTAGCAGCATAGCTTTGGAGTGCTGCATCCCACTCTCCAGACCACAGCAGCCACGGTGCCCACCACATTCAGCCCGTGGCAGGAGCAGTTCCTGTCCTGGTGTGTGAGAAGGGCCTGCCCAGCATGCAGGGTTAGCATCTGTTGTGATCGTTGCATCCTTGGAGAGTTTGCTTTCTCATTGTCATACGTGAGTTACTTACGGGGGATCATCTCCTTCCAACAGATCCTGCGGCTCCACCAAAGAAGCCCCCACGCCCCGGAGCCCCTGGTCACCTGGGCAGCCTTGCCAGCCTCGGCAGCCCTGGGGACGGCTATAACGAGGGCGTCAAGGTGGGTGTCTGAGCCTGGGCGGCACGCTCTGCTTGCAGGGTTGCACGTCGCTGGTGGTGTTGAGTGGGGTTGTGCAGGGTAGGACTGCCGAGTGGCACAGAGCGGCTGGATCTGGGGAGCTCAGTCAGAGCCTCACTTTCTGCATCATCTTTCTCTGACCAGACAGAATGTGTCTGAAATGAAGTGCTAAGATTTCTATCTGGTTTTAAAAATTAACTAAACCCAGGCCCAGCAGGTGGTGTGGTGGTTAAGGTGGCTAACATGGCTGACCGCAATTTGAGTCCCAGATTTGGCAGCTTGCTTTCTCGCTTTGCTTCTCTCTGTCAATCTGGTCAACTTCAAAAACAAATAAAATAAGATAATGACAACGAATAAAATAAAATAATTTTTTTAATTAATTAAACCCAGGTACCTGGGCTAAGTGAGCACACTCTCTTGACACCATCTCCGGTTTGTCAATATGGCTTCATGGAGAACTGCAGTAATTCCCCGTCTGAGGTCGGAACTGTGTGTGTAAGCACTGTGTGCAGAGTAGAGCCGTCCTCAGACCGAGGCACCTTTGACTTGGGCACAAAACCAACCGTGAGCTGCTCCTGTGTGTGTCCCAGAGCCTCTGCATTACTCTGCGAGGAGTCCTCTTGCTTTCCACCAAAGAGAACATACTACTTCTCAAAGTAGCACCTGTTTCTCAGCTCTGGTAACACACTGTTCTCACATTTTAACATCTGAGACCAGAACGGTGTCTTGCTTTTACTGACAGAGTCCTTTCCTTTCTTAGTGGTTGATAAGAAAACGGTGCATCCTGTAGTGGGTGACGTCTTACTGGTCAATAGCGTATTAGTTAGATGGATTTTTTTTCCAGTGCCCACCATGTGCTAGCACCCTCTCTGTGCCAACTGCGATGACAGACCTTCCCGCGTTTTAAATCCTCAACATCAGCCTCACAGGATAGATGGTATCTTCACAGGAGGCAACCAGGATTTGCAGAGGTCAAGCAGTGTGTTTGGGGTGCCGAGCTCACACAGCTAAGCTGCTGTCACCATGCCCCTGACTGACTCCCCACCAAGGTTGCCACCTCTAAAGCCAACTCAGGCTGGTGATTGGTTAAAGAAGATAGACTGTCATCTCAGAGGAGCCAGGGTTAGTCTCAGGAGGAGAAGAGGTCTTGTCCAGGCTCAGAATGCAGAGGCTTGCGGTGTTCACTCACGAGGTGGCCAGAGAATAAATGTGGCACCAGGATGCTCACCCGCTCCCTGCGCCAGTGCAAGAGCAACTGGGCCGAGATGCCCCTTCCGGGGGTTAGTAATCACAGCTCATGCCATTGGCTCATCAGCTCAGAGACGCCAGGCGCCTGCCCAGTCCTCTGGGCCTTTCTCCCAGGGACATCTCCCAGCGACTGTCAGTGACACGCTCGGCGTCCTTAGGGAGGAGCGACAGGCCTTCCTCATAAGGCTTCTGTAAGTTTAAGGAAGGGAACGTTGGGGACCAGCAGATGGTGGAGCGGTTTCATTGCTGGACTTCCACTTGGCTGACCACAGTTTGAGTTCCAGACCCGGTGGCTTGAAACTCTCTTCAGGCACACGTGCACGCACGCCCAAGGTCTCAGGAGAATGGAGGAGAAGGGATTGCTTCATGGCCATCCTTCCTGGGGGTGACTTCTCATTTTCCTTCTCACTGTCTCTGTCTCTCTCTCTCTCTCTAGCAAATGCACACACCCCTAAGGCAAAAACTTCTACCAAAATAAAAAGGAAAGAAAAAGTGAAAATTTAGGTTCATGAACTCTTCACATTCATAAGCCATGAGAGCCAGCTTAAAAATGACTTGTATTATAAGGAAAAAACAACTGGCGGAGTAGATTGGGTACCACCTCAGAAGTCTGATATGCCTGTTCATTTCTCACAGCTGAGTAACAGGCAAATCAGTACCATTGAGAATATCCTTCACATAGAGTTGTTGTTGTTAGGTTTTGCCATATGGTGCGTGCACTCACTGAGAGAAACAAAGACAGAGAGCGGGAAAGTAAGAAACAAACCCACCCATCCCACTCAGGGGGAGTGGACATGCTGCAGTCCCTCCTCCATTCTCTTCTTGGAAGATACTGGGCATGCGTGCTCACGGGCCCAGCGTGACTTTCAAGTCACCGGGTCTGGGACTCAACCGTGGTCAGTTCTGTGGAGTCTGCTGCTTTCAGCCACCACACCACCTGCTGGCCAGCCCCAAGAAGAAATGTTGATGGAGACAGTATACTTAAATATATTAGTGATTGTGAAATATGTACCTCTTCTGTTTCTTCATTCGGTAGAGGTTATCGAATCCTACCTAGAAGAACAATACTGAGTCAATAGGAATAATTCTTACCTTTAACAACGTTTATTTAGCATAGTTCACTCAAGTAACATGTAGCCAAAAATCAGTCTCAATTTCTCCTTGATGGCTTTATGTTTGGTTCTTAATTCTCTGCGTCCAAGCATCATCCTCAGTGGTCACACCTGCCTCCATCTGTAGAGGGCGGTGCTGTATTGCATCTGCTTGCCAGGACGTTTCCAAGTTACCGAGCTCCAAAAACAGGAACCCAGTGACAGGTGTCTCCACACTAAGCTTTTGCTTCTGGAGTATGACCCTGAGTCTGGGACGGTCCCTAGAAGCACCATGACGAAGCCCTTCCACCACAAGAGTTGGGCAGAAGACAAAGCACAGAAGCTTCAGTCAGGTTAAAATAAATCCTCCTAGAATCATCGTTCATTAAATTTCTTCTTGGCACTTGCCTTGTGGCACTACCCTCAGAAAGACCTGTGTGTTGACTTGGCTCAAACCGCACATCCGTGACTGCGAGCTGAAGGCTGTCCAGTGATTTCAGTGCAGAGAGCAAAGCCTGGGGGCAGCTGTGGGACCGCCCGTCCCAGTGCCCGGGAACCTTCCTCCATGCGGACCGCGCAGCGTGTGCAGCCGCGTGCATCCTCTCCAAGTCTGAGGAGGGGACGAGAGCCACAGCTCGGGCCTTGCTCTGCAGTCACAGCACCAGCCCTGGTCCCAGCTGTGCAGGAGTGCACTAAAACTGCTTCACTTAGAGTTAGTTCACCTAACCACAAGAATTGGCTCAAAAGAAGGGGGTTTTGTTTGCCTGTTTTTGATTTGTCTTAATCTCCTGATACCTGTCAACACGGCCCCTAGCCCAGAGTCTGTATCCTGGCTGTACCCGCAGACTTCAGGGCTGTGGAGGGGCCCGGGGTGTGGGAATGGAGAGCCTCTCAGCCGTCAGACACGCTGTTCCCAGTGGTTACAGACATACACGCCTCCTGTCCGTGAAGAGCCTTAACCCTGCTGCTGCCGGGTCATTGCTGCGGGGCCTTGCATGCTCTCATGTCCACGGGGTGGTAAGCACAGCACGTGCTCGTGTGTAGCACGGATGGATGCCGAACAGCCACACTTGGCTTACTGTGAGCTGGTGCTGGTCAGCGGCTTTGGAACCGGCTCCCTTGTGCTCTGCTCATGTGTTTTTTGGGGGGGGTGTCTGCTGCCTTTATTAATACTGTTTTTCTTTTTTCCCTCTCTGATAATTCCTCTAACTTTTGCTCACCTTCCGTTCGACAATAGCCGTGGAGGGTAAGCACACCGTGTCCTTGTGTGTCTGTCCAGCTCTGTCCTCTACCCCCGCTCTGCATGTGACTCTGGACAGAAAGCGGCAGGGAGCCAGCGGGAGGGCACTCTGGCTTGGTCTGTCACCTCTCATGACCAGCAAGTGCCAAAAGTGGCATTTCTGTTTGCCAGAGAGTGAGACGAGAGTATCTTTGCAGTGAATGGATTATCCTCGTCCTCTTCTCCATCAGGCCCACACTTCACAACTGCCATGAACAGAATTAATCTGTTTCCGACTACTTGGGCAGAGGCACTGAGGGTTCAGAAACGGGCACTTGGTGTCCCGGCCTGAGCCCCGGCACTTGGTGTCCCGGCCTGAGCCCCGGCGCAGAGTCGTGATGGAGCAGCCATTGGCCGCCACAGCATAGGCTGCTCATACCCACGGTCCTTTCTGTGCCTGGTACAGCTCTACTCGATTTGAATTTTAAGCAGTGCTCCCCTGAAGGCCCTCACGCCATTCTGCCTTCTGTGCTCAGTTTACTCGGGCAGTGCTCATTCATGTCCCTATGTCCTGAACCTGCTCACAGCTGTGGCTTAGCCACCCTTTCTCATGGGTGCCTGGGTGGGGCAGCTGAGGCCTGCAGCCCCAGGTGGCTGCCGCGGTCAGCACAGCTGACTGGCGCCCGTGCCCCACCATGCC